CCAAAAATCATGTAAATTTTTTGAATGGGAGAATTCACGACTTCATCATTATAATGAAAAAAAAAAAAAAAAAAAAAAAAAAAAAAAAAAAAAAACCCTGGGCCTCTCCAAAATCTGAGTATAACGGGCTCATCTAGGTACTATCAACTGTGGATTGGCGCGAAAAACATGAAAATCGCCATGTAAAACGGAAAGAAGAACTGTGAAAAAATGAAAATTTTAAGGGCAGAAAACTTGTAGTATTGATTATAAGTAGCACATGTCTTTGGGTTAAATTTTAAACCGGGGTCACTGCAATCAGTAATACTGAAGTTAGTGCCAAACAGGACTACGGCTAATACAAATAACACTGATCATAGTCTTATTTTTGGATCAGTCCTCAATGACCAATGAACTGTCACGAGAGTGCCGCCAGAGATAATTTTACAGACTTTAATATTCTTTGGCACCCACTCAAAGGTTACTCAGCGATGGTTTCAGTGTCAGATCCACTCACGAAGACAAGTGCGATTCCATTTTCATCAATATCAGGATATTAAAAAATGGAAAAATTACTATTAGTACGGCTTTATTAGTATTTCCCTATTTTGTCTGTAACTTGCTCTGAAAGGCCTCTGATTAGTCTGAAAACTTTTCAATGGAAGTAGTAAAACTACACCTATATGAATGAAAAGCAAGTGTCAACAGCAAAAACAGAGGTCACCAGCGAGAATAAAATATTTACTTTCTGTCAATCTCGACCTTGCGGAGCACACGAAGTAATCAGGAGATCTTATCCTCGTAAGAAAACGAATCTATTTGAATAAATTACGTAGTTATGTCCTTACTGACAATAGACTGATTTAGCGCCCATGTCGTAGGCATTGGATTCATGAAAGGTTACCGTAGCAGAGTAGCAACCTCAATAATAATTTGCATGACCATGATCAAGTGCCTCGACTTTTCTTAGCAAAGAGTAAAAGGTCCAATGCATGAACCTGCAGTTAGTTGCATTCTTTGTCAATTTAAGAAAATTAAGGCCTACGGTAAAAGAACGACCATTCCTAGTTACAAAAATCGTAGCTGTATACAAAGCTTGCTTTATTTGGACGTATTTCTATCAAACGGAACTATGTGCATTATGACGTGATTCATGTTATGCATGATTTCTTATGGGTCTCAGGGCTCATGTCTTAATGCACATAGTTCCGTTTGATAGAAATACGTCCATTTTTGAAAATTACTGCAGTGCTTTATTGTCTTTTTGCTCGTTAAGTTGTTCGAGACTTGCGAGGAAAAATGCTTCCTAGCTTTTCCACCAAGAATGAAATTAAAATCAAAGTTTTCGAACATGGTTGTTCTATAATTATAAGTACACGGAAGAAAATGATATTGCTGATTTAACAATTTTGTAGTTAAAAAGGTGTCCGAAATGTTTCGGTGTAGATTTTACAATAAAAGAATGCTAATTTAACCACCCCCGAGGTTAAATGAGCTTTCCACTATTGTAAAATGTCCATTTGACACATGTCGGACATATTTTTTAACAATTTAATTGTTAAATTAGCAATCCGTTTCTTTCCGTGTATATCACTTAAATCTGTTTCGGCAAAGCTACTTATTTACAATTAAAGGAAAACGGTTGAAACGAAAAGATGCGAAAAACTGAGGAGTATATTGAGAAATCTGACGATGAAATTAACGTAGGTTAGGAGCCACGCTAACGACAAGAATCTGATTATAGTCGCAAACAGCGCCAGCTTTGAAGGGGCGGGGCCTCCCGATGACTTATCCAAAGCCAAACAGGTTTTTCTTTTATATCATTTTACGTCGTTGTTGTGCGATCTACCTCATCCGGATTTCCATTACCTTGAAGATATTCATTCAGGTATATTTCATTTCTTTCTCTTATAAAAGTCACGTGGCGTAGAGACTACGGCTTTCCTTTACTTCAAGCTACCCTATACCTGGTACGTCATACAACGTCACGCAACGTCTTATCCCTGACGTCTTGAAAAAATTAAGACAGCGTAGAACTTAACTACTACTGCGTTTTTGACTTCTGTTAAAATTTTTTGGACTATTTGGGAGTAGAAGTTTTTCTTTCTCTCAGTAAACTGTACTTCATTTCTTCTTCAGCAGAATGTAAAGATCCGGGATGTGCAATTATAAGTTAAAAAAGCGAGGATGGTTGTACACCTTGCTATGATAAAGCTAATTAAGGCGTTAGATACAGAAAGGGCATTTCCTAGTCGCGGTGTTTTGGAATCTCCACCGCTAATTTATATTTTAAAGATGAAACTATTAGGCGATTTTTCTGGAATTTTTAGTTTTCCCCATTGTAAAATCATAAAGAAAACTCAGTAAAAGTTTCAACTAATGCCAGCCATTTGCTATAATTATAACGGATGGGACATTAGTGAAGATTCTGAGACACCGTATAGCGCTCTTATTTTAGACCTCAGGGTCCCATAGTAAATTTCTGCCAAGGGTCTGTGATGCAGAATAACGACTCTTTATTGCAGCTGAAAACTCGCGAATCATTTGAAATCAAGTAAATTCCTCCATCGGGCTATCTGGGCCTGTCGGTTGTATGATTTAACACGCGTCTTCTATTTTTAATATTTACATTAAAAATTGGTTCAGAGTCCCTAAAATTTATGTCTCCTGTGTAGCCCATAGGCTAAAACTGAAACTTAATAGGTTGAACCCCTAAGAAGCCCACACTTTCAACGTGAAATAGCGCCTTGTCCCTGGACGTCCCTCACAAAACAGTACGCACCGCAATGACGAAAGTAACGTAACATTTCGTTAGCGTGACGTAACCGCTTGCAGTTTGAAGGCAGGCGTAACATCAGTTCCAATGAGATAGATCAATGCGCTCAAATCGTCACCCTTCTGACGTGAGCGCGCATCTCAAATTCGACGTGAGCCTTGCTGTTCATAAACCTCTATGCTTTTCGGGACTCATGGGGGAATAGAGATACGCCCTTCCTACGCATCTATCCTACCATTCAACGTAAAACGAGCTTTTCAAAGCTGCAAGGCCGGAACCGGCTCACTGTCATACGTTAGGCAGAAACAACAAATCCACACGGACTTCGCATTGCACTTACGTTGTAGCTGATTAGCAGGGAGTTCAGAGGTCCCTCTGCCCGACCCCCGCTCACTGATTTTCGCGGTTCTCCCACCTGGAATTCGAAACGATGGTTATAAACCGCGTAACTGAAAAGGGAGACCTTATGCAGATGTGTGGTTCTTGTCAAGCCTGGCTGATCACCGCTCGGCTTGGGTACGGCGGAGCGATCCGTAGTGGCAATTATTGCCCGGCTTGTGTGACCGCTTCCCGTGCTTCCCGACTGCCGCACAGTGGTACGAAAATCCGGAAAAATCGAATTTTCTGATTCCGCTGGATTCTTTTTTTCTCGTGTTAACCAAATCAAGTAGAGTATTGGTTTTTTCCAATTGTAATCCGCCCCCCTCCCCCCCCCCCCTAAAAAAAATTCAGAAGAGGGACTTGCGTCAGGTTGNCACATAGTGCAGTGTGCGCAAACGTTATCGGTAAAACTGTGCGCAAATGAAAATTCGGAATTTTGTGCGCAACCGTTATCGGTACGAAAAGTGTGCGCAAGTGTCGTGCAGCCAGGCCAGGTGCTCCGACAAGAATCGATTATTCAGCATGGGCTTAAATGGAGGCAATCCGGTGTTGCCAAATTGCTGGATCTGCCTCTGGTTGCAAGAATAAGTTGCAACAAACTACATTTATTTTTGCGTTGGCAGAGGGCATGAATGCCGATTTATAGTTGTTCATTTAACACTAAAGCATTCTAAAGCAATACGTAACAGAGATACGCGATTTCGCACTTTGAACATCGATATTCTACTTACGATCAATCGAATTCATGGCTGACTATCTTTTCCGCACAAAGTACATTTGTGGTAATTTTTCTGATTATCGTTGCCGCACAAAGTAATTTTCTGTAGTATATAGCAATGTTGAGAAAAATATGAGGCATATTTAAGAAAAATTAATGAACAAAGATTGAAAACTACATTGATGTTGCCGGATGTTTGAGATCTGATTTGTGAGAAAATGATTTTAGGCGGCAACGATAATCGGAAAAATTACCACACATGCTCTTTGTGCGGAAAAGATATTCTGCCAAATTCAGTATTTTTTTTCTTTCTTTTTTTAAATAGCTCATCCGTATTTCAACACCGCCAATCAGTTTTAAAAAAATTCGATTCCCTTACGCTCTATTGCAACAAATTCGTCGCTTTGCAGCGAAATTACACATTGAGATGAGCCCGGAAAAGCATTGAAACGTATGGAAGACAGGGTTCATTGTATAGTGCAGTTACGCCTTTATGTCAGGTAGGCGACGAATTGATTAAACGATAAAAAAAATGAAATTTCTGATTTAACAAAGTAGTCAACACAAGTGTCCGACATGTTTCAATGCAGATTTTTCAATGAAAAAATGTCAATTTAACCACTCCCGTGGTTGAATTAGCTTTCCACTATTATAAAATGTACTTTTGAAATATGCGGACATATTTTTTAACAATTTAATTGTAAAATCAGCAATCCATTTTTTTTTTTCGTGAAATACGGTGGATTTCATCCTTTTAAAATTGCAAATGTTAACCGAGCGACGTGCAGTTTCAAGGCTAATCGGATCGGCCGTAGCCTCCGCAACGGCTCGGACGACCGCGCGCCGCACAGTGGATCGAGTCCATTAGAGAAGTCGAAATAAACTTTTTGAGTAAAACTGCAAATTTCAACGTTTATTCCGTCGCATTTTAAATTTCAGCGGGTGCTTATAGAAGAAAATTTTACGAGAAATCCATTGAAACCACTTTAGAACCTCAAAGTTTTGATATAACGGAGTTACAAGCTCTTAAAGTTTCCAAATTTTGTCCGAGCTCTCCCGTTGACTCGATCCACCGCACGGCGCGCCGCAACGCGCAACGCCAGCTGAGTTCGCTACGTTCTTTCCTGTTCGTTCAAGTCAAGTTCAAGATTACCAAGCTCCTGCATCTGTGTTAGTCGGCCCGCGCTCCTCTTGCTGATCCAAGCGATGCTGATTGCTGATCCGAGTACCGTTTTCCTGATTGTTTACGTTCATTAATTCATTTCGCAAACATCGAGTGATACAGCTGTGACATTTAAATCTATGATTCATGGATAGTTTTTCATGGATAGTGATTATCAGAGGCTGGTGATTGGGTACTGTGAGTGTGATCGGTTCTCTGGATAAAACGTTGTTTTTCCGGGATTGATTATTGTTTGTTTCCAGTGTTGACGGATAGGATACTTGAGCTTAGTTGGTATGTTGTTTGTATGTGTATTTTTATTTTTTCCCCGTTTTTATCGCATTCTGGGAAAAAAATATGATAATTTCCATCACAAGTCTACTTGATATTTTACATTGTGATCCAATTCAGTGAAAATAACCAGAAATATAGTAGTATTCATCAGAACTCTGGTGATACATACCATAATATGGTAAATGCTACCATAGAGTCTGGTGTTTATTACCATACTCGTATCACTGTGTCAGAGTATGGTAAAATCTACCATAAATTTTTTCCAGTGTTGATTCCGATGAAACTTTTCCTTGCTTGGATCGCATTTGGCAAAAAGGAACCAGCGTGATCACAGTGTTTTCAAAATCGGACAAGTGACTCTACTTTAAAAAAAGTACAGCATTAAAATTTACACGATGATTTTCCTTTAAAATTAACAATTTTTTGGTAGGAAGCAACAACTATTTGCTATTTTGAGAGATTTTTCCGATAATTATGAAGAAGCAACGTTTTTACAACACTGTAACTTCGCCGGTTCCTCTTTGCTAAATGCGATCCACTTAGCAGTCGTGATTGTTAAAAAATCAACTCGAAATAGGAATCGTAAAATAAGTTGATTCCAAAAGAAGTGTTAAATAAAGTTAGAGTGATCGGAAATTTTATATATAGCGTTGAGGGATTCCTCGACCCGAAAGTTTAATGAAATCCGATAAAAATCTCAAGATGGGCATATCCCAGGGGAGTAGAACATAAACAACTATCAAAAAATAAACATGAAGTTCGATTTTTCCACCCAACTCGAGGAAAATACCCAGCGCGTCAGAGAGGCGATTTTCATATGAGGTGTTATGATATCGGAGGTTTCTGTGTTGAGATGGACTCAATGGAGGTGGAACTCAAGAAATAATATTATTTATCATGTGATTAAATTTTTCTACATGCAAGTCACATGCACGTGTATATAATTTTAAAGAGGAAACGTAAAGTAATTATATCTACGGCTAAAGTGAATAAAAATCTCACTATAGATATACCTCCAGCACAAGGCTCAAAAATATCTAATTTTGTTTGATGTTCTGAAAGGGAACCAATCGAAGTATCTCCCTGAAATTTTTCGTGTCATTCTCAAAAAGTTCTGGGAATAAACTGTTTGTTGTTTTCCTTTTTTAAAAAAAGTAAAATATTCTCGGATACTGGCATCATCACAAAAAAGACGTATAAGACTTGCAATGCTGCTAAGATTGTGCAATTTTTTACAAAACCGGTTTCAGCAGATGAAATTTAAGTATTCACAGTCGACTTACTTCCGTATAATAGTGAGGAAAAATTCGGAGCAGATCCAGGGGAGAATTCATAGCAGAACTGTCGGATAATTGATTTACAACCACAAAATTACGTTGCACAATCATAGCAGCACTGGAAGTCGCATACGTTATTTTACCGAAAAATGCGCTTCAATTGAAGGCACGCATATCCCGACATTCGCCATGAATGTAAGATACACGGAGAAAAAAACTTCGTGCATGGGATCCGAAGTTAAGATCATATGGATCTCTGAAGTTTTCGGATCACGCATCCGAAAACTTGAGGTCCAGCTGCCGAATTTCGGGTCAGACATCTGAAGTATTTCGGTATTTACCGAAGGGATCGGATCACACATCTGAAGAACTCGGGTACATACAAAAGTCTTCAGGTGTCTAACCCGAACTTCAGCAGCTGGACTTTAAGTTTTCGGGTGAATAATCCGAAAACTACAGGGACCCATATGACCTCAACTTCGGGTCCCACGCATGAAGTTTTTTCCTCCGTGTACGGTGGTTTGCACTTGCGGTTCTTGATTTATTTTCGGCCACCCGAGGAGGAACCGGAAAAAACAGGAGAGAGCACCGGCTTTCGGCAAAGTATCGGGTCCATTGACACCGAGTTCAAACATAGCGATCTCCTCACGCAAACGATCTTTGTCGAACGAACGCCGAGCAAAAAGCGGACGGGTGGATGGAATCACATACATTAGCGCTGCTTTTTAAGCGGAAAGCTTCGGTTTTATTCTTTTCCAACAAAGCCTTCCGTCGGATTCGCGGAACTGGATATGCGATGAGGCATGCGCTCGCAAGCGCGTTGCGTCGAAAAACTTACTTCCGTTCCATTCAAGTGGACATTCCCGTAGTGTCCACGATTTCCGGCAAAAAACACTGCGAAAATGTCACTTCTGACTCCTCAAATTTTCATTTCTTACGTTGGTGTGGCATGCTTTGCGATTTATCGATCGATCCGCCATTTAAACCTATGGAAAAGGATCGATAAGTAGGGTGTTCGCAACGAACACTTTCACAATTGATTCTTTACCATGACTTCAAATGAGGAAATATCGAGAATCGATCATTCACGCCTCGCCACTGATTTCTTAATTTCAAGAGATTTACCGTGCCGGTTTCGAGGTTTTTTGGTAATAGTTATCGGACTGATCATTGAAATTGATAGACAAAGCTATAGATAAAGAAACCGACGGCAAACTGAGGAGATCATATTGGTTGAGATCCATGGTTGTTATGGACTAAGGATAGAATATATGGACTAACGATTGGGTCATTCATGAGTTGCCATGAGTTAGTCTGTTACGTATTTATTGTCATTTGTGTCCATTTCAACCACCCACATCTACCATTAAGATCGCTGCATTTCCCCTTTGTATCCTTTGTCCATCAAAATTTCAATAATCAGTCCGTATAAAAAGATAATCTCGAGATTATGGAGGCTGGAGAGCTGGAACATGGAGAATGACCCAAGAACTTGGAGGTACCGTGCATACGTACCAGGGGGCTTTAGAACTGGAGAGGCTAGTTAGTTAAGCTTTATTCGTCACAATGGAGATGTTGCATGTGTGAGGAATTTGCGATTTGACTGTGTTGACTCTTCTGTAAAAGTTCGCGAGAAACACGATGGTGCCACTGGTTTTCTCTGAGATCAACTTCCAAGCTCAAAAAAAGTTCTCAAGTTAAGGCCAAAATGGAGGAGATATCCCACGCTATCCTGAGAGTCCACCTTTACATCAAGACAAACTCTCCATGCTAAGATAGGCAGCAAATACATTAACAGGGCTGCCACTTTATTTGGGGACTCCAAAACTGAAAACACGGCAACACTGCTAATGTATTTCATCCCTGTCTTTGCATGGAGAGTTTGTCTTGATGTAGAGGTGGACTCTCAGGATAGCGTGGGATATCCCCTCCATTTTGGCCTCAGCTTGAGAGCTTGTTTGAGCTTGGGAGTTGATTTCAGAGAAAACCAGTGGCACCATCGTGTTCCTCGCAAACTTTTACATAAGAATCAACATCAAATCGCAAATCCTTCACACATGCAACATCTCCATTCACGAGTAGTCTCATGACAAATTGCGTAGTTCGTGGATATCCACCGAAGTAAATAGTTAGCATCTCGTGGTTCTTGCTCTATCGAACGCGAAGTCTCATGCTCTTGAAAATAAACAACACAAAAAAGAATGAAATATCGATTCAATGGGGATACCCACAGATGTAAACATAACACAATAAACCAGACAACTCTATAAATGATAAGTCTTGTTATTCTGATAAAACAATATCACCAATATTTTTGTCATAAGGCAGCGCTTGTCAAATAATCGAAAGCCCCTTTGCCTCTTAGCGGGCCTCTCATAGTTTTTGCCGATCTTACATAATCTCGTCGAGAATAATCAGCTGGTTGATTGCCGGCAATTAGCGCGTAAGTACATCAATCAGTGTGCCACAGTGATACAGCTTTTCTCGCATGCAACTCGAGTACATTTTCCGCGCAAAAAAGAGGGACAACACGTGCTTGAAACTCTATCATGTATCAGCGGAGTAAGTTTATAAATAGACTCCACACACTTTTTTGAAATCAGTGGGTAATAAAAGAAGAGATTCGATTAATTGACTGATGAATATTCAAAAATTGACGCATTTATGCTAAAATGAACTATGCGCGTAGGGCTTACGTGCAACATTTTCGTCAATAATTAAAGAATTCTCCAAAAAGGAAAAATATTAATTGGCAAATCTCCTTAAATACGGCAACATTCGATACATCGTCGCGCGCCATTCATTAGTCACGCAAGATCAAGCGTTATTTTGGGAGTATTTTCCGCCTAGACAATTTGCGTAGAATTTTTTTTTTTTTGTTGATGCGGACTTAAAAGTGTTCCATTAAGAATGGTTCTAACTTCTACGCTGTTTTTGAAGGACCTTTTAGGCGTTTTAGTTCAAACTCTGGCCAACTGATATCAGCTCGCTCGCTCATAATTATACCGAAAATATCTGAGTAGGTATCATTAAAAATTACCTCCTCCAGCGGGTTGAAATTGACAGACCAAGTTATTGACAAAGAATAAGAAAGGGATATGGAGGGATCCTATTGGTGAAAGCAGGTAATTGCAATGGACAAAGGAGCTAGGTAATAGACCAACTAAAGGCAACTCACGAGATATAACCTATAGTTAGTCCATCTTTTACTGCCTTAGTCTACAAGAACCACCCATTTCAACCCTAAAGGATCCCTCCACACTCCCTATGTCTTCTTTGTCGATCAATTTCAAGAAGCAATCCGCTCCCCACTGGTTCGCCTTCAACTGATATGTGATACTTTAAGCATCATCGCAGGGTTGGTTTAGTTGCCTACCCGAGCAACACCTAAATATAGTCAGTGTTAATGTTTCATAATTAACATTATTTTAGTTGCGTATTTGTTTGACTGCTAAACTCTAAAAAATACGTATTTCTAATTACGGTGATGCTTATATTGTTTGACACATTTTTCTATTCAGTCATTCTCATACTTACTCGTATAAAATATCCGCAATGTTTGTTTGCTATCTTTATTAAAAAAAAGTTCGAGAAATTTATTCGTTTTATTCTAGTTTAAGAAAGTAAAATATGAGTAAAAATTCTAAACTCTATACAACTGAGGAATGTAATTTTTAAATTACGTCAATTTTGAGTATGTACAAGGTGTCCTGCACCTCTTTT